GGGGGGGGGGTGGCTGTCTCCGGCCGGACAAATGCGTTTTTCTCATTTTTAGATGGAAAGGGCAGAGTCTCTACAGCCACTGTAACACCGTCGCTGCCACGGGGTGAAGCCTTTACGCCCCCAGGCTGAGGGCAGGGGTGAGGCCCGGGCCCTGCCACGCTGCCGGAGCCTTTGGTGATGCTCCAGAGCCATTGGCATGTCCTTCCTTCACCTCAGTAACCCGGTCTCAGAGCAAACACCTGCTGCAGGCTGACTGCTGACCCCAGGAGTGATGTAGTTGCAGCATTTTAGATGAACAAGGCAGAGAGTATATTGAAGAATGGCTGCTTTGATGGTATTTCCCTTCAGTGATGTTCCTTTTTGTAGCTGTTTGTGGCCAACCAGTCCAAATCCTCCCGTGATGGACTGGTGTGCTGCTTGTAGCAGGAGGAGGAGCCGGGACTCCAGCCGGGATTAGTTTTCTATATTGGGAACAAATTTGCTACTAATTGGAGAGGGTGGTTGTTGGTGCTCGTCAAGGCCTGGTCACCAGTTCTGAGGAGATGGTGGGGAAAAGCCCTGGTCCTTCCCAGAGGGCAGGACTCCCCGGGCTGTGTTTGGGCGCTGTGTTTGTGGGGGCACAGCTACTGGTCACACAAATTGTACTGATGGTGCAGGCGCCGTTTGGAGCTTTAGAAGCATTTTCATTTGTTTGTGGGCATTTTGTGGTGATTTTTGTCTGGTCAGGGTTCCATTCCCACATCAGGCCCTCGCTCCATCCTGAGCTGAAACCTCACTGGGTGCCCTCGGTAAAGCAGCTGCAGCCGTGTGCTCGATAGCTCTATGGTCATGCTTTTAATTACCATTAAAATAATTGGCACTGTGGCTACTGGGAGGATGTGAGAAGATCAGAGGCTCAAGGCTGTTTCTCCCGGTGCCTCGGGGGTACCAGCAGCTTTCAGTGTCTGTATAATTAAAAGCTACAATCTTTCATGTGCACAATAAAGAGGGTTGGGAGGTGGGGAGACTTCAGCCTTTCTGCATTTTATTTATTAAACATAATCAATGACCAGTCTCTCTTTTCCACAAAGGTTTTTAGGAAGCGGTGGTGTCTGACAGCCCTGTCCCAGTATCTTTAAGATACACAAGTGTGGGTCTTTCTTACATTAAATACCTTAAACTGGCTTCTTACCAGGGCCTGGTGTGGGGAGGGAGGTGCACTCGTACAGGAGAGCAGAGAGGTTTTAAACCCTTCCCTCTACTTGCCCCTTTCCTCAGTGTCCATTTTTACTGGCAAATCCATCCCAGTCCATCCCAGTCCGTCAGCTCTCTCAGATCACTGGGGGAGATCTCCTTTTTCCTTCCTTCATCTCCATCCTGCTCATGACCTGACGGTACTGGTCATCTGTGCTCTGGTTCTCTGAAGTGAATCAAAAATCCCCCAGGAAAAAGGATAATTTTTTTTTAATTAAAAAAAAAAAAAAGCTTTGAAACTCCTGGAGCAGAGGTGGTGGCTTCATTCTCTGTCGAGAGCAGGGAGTCCTGAGGTCGGTTTGTGCAACCGGCGTGTTGTAAGTGGCGACGTAAAATCCACTGGGGTTTGTGGAAGATGATTCAAATCTCCAGTGCTGGAGTTTTGGTGGAAAAGGTTCTCCCTGGCCCTTTGGGAGGGTGGGGGGGGACGCAGGCGGG